TGCCACATAAAAAAGATGATTCTTTTTCTTCCGCATCAGCAGAGCTAGTTGGTTTTGTTTGGTTTGGTGTTTTTCTGTTTTGTTTTTTAAGTTTTTGATCCAGTGACAGTTAATCAATGGATGTTAAAGAGGCAAAAAGAAAGCCAGATTTCTCACAGGCAGAATTGGCACACAATCTCACACTGATCGTTTTTTTTTTTTTAACAAAGCTCCAGGATCTTTCTAATTAACAATTAGGTTTGACCACAAAATTAGAAGTATCTCTATTTTAACTTAAGGATAACTAAAATAAATGGATGAATTGGAACTGCTAATATGCTGCTATCCCTTAAAATTCCCCAGTGATGTATGTATGGTGCTAGTGATTGAGCCCAGGGTCTCGGGCGTGCTGGGCAAGTGCACTACCACTGAGCTACAACCCCAACCCCATTGATTCATATTTAATTTTGCCTTGATTCATATAGAAATTTTTATTTTATAGTTTTACAATAAAAAAGTTAAAGGAAAAATGTTAAATATACTTTTGAGGAAATGCTTTAGAATGTAATTTTTAGAGATCAGTAAACAACATAGAAGGCCCCTTCAAAAAGACTATGTGATCTTGTGCTGAGATCTCCCCTCCAGCTGATTCTGGTTTAAGTTAATCTGCATAAACAAAGAAGCTTGAGCTTTCTAATAAATGCCATATTCCAACTTTATAAATGGGGACACAATAAGGTTTAAATGACTTGCTTCATAGAGATAAGGGAGCTTCTAGAACACTTCTCTCTTCTTCCACAGAATATCAGTGCTGAAGGAACAGATATCAATTCCATAGAATATCAGAGCTGAAGAAATTGTTCTATTGTGGGGTCATTGAAGAAGACATCATGGAAAAGTTGAATTTGAAAAGAATTAAGCTTCTGATTCAAATGTATGATATGTCAAGATCATTGTACTGTCATGTGTAACTAAGTAAAACAAATTTTTATAAAATAGCAATTTCAAAAAAAAAGAACAGAATTAAGCATTTTTTATATATACTCTTACTTTTTCACCAAAATAATGTTGACTTGCAATAGGAAATTTGGGCTGGGGCCGGAGCTCAGTGGTGGAGCACTTGCCTAGCATGCGTGAGGCACTAGGTTCGATCCTCAGCACCACATAAAAATAAACAAATAAAATAAAGGCATTCTTTCCATCTACAACTACAAAAAAAAAATTTTTTAATTGGGAGAAATTTTGAAAAGTACAAGGAAAGGTGTTGGGATGAGTTACTCATAATCCCATCCCATAAAAACAGCACTACTTGTGTACTTCTCTGCAGTCTTTCTCCCTGGCAGAGTATTGTATTATTAGCAATCATAATACTATATTTGCTATCATTGCAACCATATTGTTTCTCAAGGAATATTATAACTCAAGGACTATTCAATGTTTTAATAAATTCTTCAAACACTATTTTAATTACTATCTAACAGTCCCTTAAAGAACTTTGCCATAAATTTCTTCACCTTGTTCCTACTTTTGAATCATTACATGGAAGAGAGAGATTTAAATGAAGAGAGTAGAAGTGTCTAGAAGAAGAATATGCAATATAAAAAATTTAAAAACAGAACATTCACAGCATGTGTAGATAAGCTTTGAGGTTTGTTTCCTTTACATTTTTTTTCCCAATAGGATAAAACACTAATAAGAACACCTACTTTTGTTGAGTATCTACCATGAGATTTATGCCACAGATATATTTTATCATTCAGTCAGGATAAAAATTAATCCTAGTTTCTATTACATCTTCATTTTAAAGATGAGGAAAACAAGAGCCAGTTTTCTTAAGGGACTTGCAAAAGGTCAACAACAGAGAAAGAACTTGAACCAAGATTCATCTGAGAAGAAAGCTGCTCCTGTTGACCACCATACTCCATGTTTCATGTACCATTGATATCATCAGAGAGCTATTCTTAAAAATGGAAATAGATTGCAAACAACAGCTCATAAGCAGATAACTTGTTACATGTCAGGTATAAAAACCAATCTACCGAAATCCCAGAATAGCTAAGAAAATCATCAATAAATAAAATCTCCTGAGTCATGTCTAAAATGTTTAAAATTCAAATATGTTTCAGGTTTCTCTAAAATTCATTAAAGAGGGAGCTGCGTTAATTGCAGCTATGTGAATGAAGTCTGGATTCTGAGACTAGATGAAAATTGATTATGCTAAAAGTAGTCTCCTATAATTAAATGAAAACCGTGCTGTGAGCACTAATTAGTCAGCAATAACTTATTTTAAGTGAAAACAGTCAGTCTTGGTGTATCTCATTAAATGAGAGCCCAGCAGCCCCTCTCAGCTGAGATTCCACAGCAGTCACCTACAGCTGTAATTTGAAACTGCAGGAAAGGGGTGATGTACCCTTCTGGAACTCTGGTGTACACATCCTGTAGCCCTCTCATTCCTTCACTCACAAGACCTGTAATATACTTTGAATTCCAAGGACTCTCACTAGGGAAGATGTCTGCCTTACAAAGTACACAGAGCCCTTGGTCTCTTGCATCTCCCAGTGGGGGTTTAGGAAAGTCAGTAAATATCATAAAATTCACTTGGCATATTTTTCTTCATTTCTAATGAAGACGAATTGAACCTGCATACTTGAAAAGTTAAAATGCATCCTCTGAAATTTTCTCCAAACTCTTCAATATCTGATAATATTCAGTTTTCCTGGTATTAAAAAAAGAGAAGATAAGTTATTTGCTGTTGTTGTTGTTCAACTTATTGTTTAATTATAAAAGAAAATACAAAAAGCATAAAAGAGCAAGGAAAATATCACCCACCATTCCTTCATCCAAAGACAGATCGTTATGGACATGGTACCATATTTCTTCCTTTTATCTACCCATAACTTTTGTTATTCGTGCATTATAATTATATACAATAATGGAATTCATATTCATAAATGCACATAACTACCCATAGCTTTTCTATATTTGAGATCATTCTGTTCACACAATTTGGTATTCTACTAGAAGGATCCATCAAAAAAGAAATTTTACATTTTATTCCTTAGCCTAAATACCTAGTAGTCATTCCATGTGTTTCCAACATCTCAGACAGATTGTCAATTTGCACCGCTGTGAGCCCTCCTGGAGAAGCGTCCTCTGCCAATAGGACAGAACCCATTACTGGGTAGGGATGAATATTCTGGACCAAATGAAAAAGGAGATCAAGACTCACTACTTATTTAGTGCTTGGGATTGATCATGCACACTTTTAGCCAAAGTAAATAAGGTTATGACTATCATTCACAGCAACTTTGAGAATAATTCTTCTGGGGGAGAGACAGTACCCAGGAAGACCAGGAGGATTAAAAGGAGATTAATTAACCCAGCCAGGTAGAGGATGTGTGGACAAGTCACAGAACTTAGAGTCGCAGAACTGGAGACTTGCAGAGGGAGTATGAATGTCAGTTCCAGATTCAGTCAAGGAACACCAACTTTTGGTTTTGTTTTGTTCAATGAAAATAAAGTGGTTTCCAAGCATCTTTCTTAGCAAACTGTCAGGTAACTTAATCTGAGACCCAAAATCTGGAAGGCTTATGTAGTGCCAAACACAAGGCCAGAGTGTCTACTCTCTTGTTATGGTAACTGCTAACAGTCTTCAAGCCCAAATGGTTCCTCAAAATTCTTGAGCTCAGGCCAATTTCCTAGGAAACGCCCAAAAGCTGAGCAAGAGTCTCCTTCTACTCAGCACCCAGCGCTCTCCATCTCTTTCCCCCACTGTTCCCCCTCTCTCTTAGACTCTATAACACACTCCCACCTTCCTTCTCCCTCTAGGTCATCTAAAGTACTCTCTTCAGGCTTAATAAAATGGAAGCCAACCCTGAGCAGCTCTTAAAGAAAAATTCTGCTTTCATGTAGGAATACACATCTTCCTAGATGTCAAGGAAAACCTTGGCCTGGTTTCCCCTAGAGGAGATGTATGGGAAAGCTAAAAAGGAAACACACACACACACACACACATACACATGCGCGCAATAAGTAATACTTTTCAAAAAAAAAAAAAGTATCATCCTGCCACAGAAAAGACCTTGAAGAAGATTCATTCATTTTCACACCCAAATCCAAGGTCCTTCATTCTTCAGCACCAGGAGGCCAGGTTTGCCATAAACTGATAAGCCTGGGCTTGGAAACTAGATGCAACTCAGATCCTGTGAATCCTAGCTCTGGGACCCTAATCTGCAGACTCCATTTTCTCCTACCACTGTGTTTAGCACAGAGTAAGATCAACTTTCCCTGTCCACAGCCAGCTGCTTTCCAAAATCACTGCCCAGCCAATCCCAAAGCAATTATTCGAATTCCTCACATTCTAGAAGCAACTTAAAATGTCGGCTGGTGTCACACTTGAAACTTTCTTAAATTCAGAACTCCCCAATTTATAATGGCTCAACTTATGACTTTTTTTTTTTTTTACTTTAAAATGGTGCAAACGTGATACACAGCCAAAAGCAATCATACCTTGAATTTTGAATCTTGGCCTTTTCCTATGCAAGTAATATGCCACAGGACAAGCTCACAGTGCTTGACAAAAGCAGTGACCAGAGCTCCCAGTGCTTGACAAAAGCAGTGACCACAGCTCCCAGAGCACTATGTGATCCCAAGCGTAAACAGCTGATTGTTTTCAGTATATAGAGCTGTTAAGCTGTGATGATCAGTAGGTTAGGTGTATTAATTCATTTTCTTCTTACAGGGTCTTTAACTTAAAATAGGTAAGTTGTGGAACATTTGCAATGGATTTTCTGATCCTTCAAGTGGTAGTTATTTTCCTGCTGGAGAAAATCACAACTGGTCCACTTTGACATTTTCCCTTCCAGAAGATCTTCAACCAGTTGTTGGATGTGACCAACTTAAACACCTTTTGCCTCCTCAGAACTCATTTTGGTGAATAAGAAAAACTACCCCCCATCTGGGAAAACCAGATAATGTGGCATGTTTTTAAATCATCTCCTTTGGGCTTTCCTGTCTCCTAGTCAGATACAGAGTTTTGGGATAAGATGCAAGCAGAATGGGAAGAGATGGCCCGGAGGAACTGGATATCTGAGAACCAAGAAGCCCAGAACCAAGTTACAGTCTCAGCTAGCGAGAAGGTAAACCCATTCCGTTCTTACACGCGCTGACAAATTTCCTCATCCTCTTCACAGCGTGTTTTATAGATTAGTTCATAACTATTTTGTCAGAAATCTAAAAATCAAAGATAATTTAATATCGATCTGACCTAGGAGAAATCACCGATAGATGGAAACAAGATAACCATCCAATGTGTAAAGGCAGTGAGCTGAAATCAAAAGCTCTTATTTATCGTCAGTGTTCAGACCATTTGGCGGCCACCCAGAACCTGGATCCTGACTGCTTGGGGCAGTTACAGAACTAACATTTAGAGTGGATTGGCAAGAACTGGGCTCATCAGCCTCTTTAGTCCTGCTGATGTGCCAACAATAGAAGCTATATAGTGGAGAGGGAGTGAAGGAGGGCCTGGGCTTGCTTCACAGGTGGTCATTACACCACTAGCAAATCATGGTGGAAAAAAGTCTCTTCAAACCACCAGGTCAGGTCCCAATGGGAGTCCTCAGAGATACTCCTCTGATAGGAGTCCCAGCAACTGTACTTGTGCAATGAACAATCATGAAGTCCTGGTGGCTCTAAGATCAATCCTTCAAAAGCACTTTTGGCCAAGCCAGCAGAGAGGGGGTTAATTGAAAGAAAGAAAAAGACGTAGAATTTTCTTACACAGAAAAAAAAGTACATGTCTGTGTCTGTCTGTATTGGGGTTTTGTGATGGAGAGAGTGTCAATTGCATTCACTTCTGAATAATTTCAATGATATTTTTCTGCACGCAACAAATATTTATATATTTATCTACTCTGCAGTAGGTACTGGGGATAAGAGACTCTGATTTGAGGAGATCTGCAATTTACATAGTGATTAAAATGTTTCTCTCCTCCCAATACTCTCTCTTTCTCAGAAGGCCAGGCAATCATACAAAATCAGAACAAACATCTTATTAAAAATAGCTGTCTTATCCAAAGAAAGCAGAGCTAAGGTAAAAAGGGAGAAGGTTGATGTAGATCATCAGACACTGGGCTACAAGCCGTGTGCCTGAGGCCTACCAGGGACCCTCACCTCTGAACCACCCCGTTTCCATACTATCCACCACATAAGTTGGTGGTAACTGTGGTCTTGATGAGGGATTTTGTCTTTCTAAGCACTAATGGAAAATGAAGGCCTCCACTTCATCTATTTTAGGCCTTAGTAACATCATCAATGGACTAGCTTATTTGCATCTATCAGAGGAGAAGGGTTTTATGATGATCTATGCTAGTGAAGTTACAACAAATAATATTGTTAGACACTTCGGGTGATAGTGTAAGTTGGGGAATACTTTCTCAAAAAATATTTAGTTACATATACCAAAGGCCTAAAAACAGTTCAAAGCTTTTAACCAAATTGATCCCTCTAGATTCTATCCTTAGGTAATAAGCAAAAGCACTAGAGTTTGAGAAAGGAGGCTCTCACTTTAACTTTATTTTATAATAATAAAAATTTTAAATAATGTGAAAGTCTGTCAGTAGAAGATCAGATAAATAAATGTAATATATCCATAAAAATAATTTTAATGGCATAGGGTAAACAATCACAATGTACTACTGTGAGGACTAAGCCACAGATTACAGATGTAGTATGAACCTATTTATACACTCACAAAAATACTAGGTTATTATTGTTTGTTTAAATTTTTGCAATGAGTAAACTGTCCATCTTTAAGACACGCATTTTTTGTGGGGGAAGGTGCTGGTAACCAGGGATTGAAATCAGGGGCACTCAACCACTGAGCCACATCCCGGCCCTATTTTGTATTTTATTTAGAGACAGGATCTCACTGAGTTGCTTAGCACCTTGCTTTTGCTGAGGCTGGCTTTGAACTCAAGATCCTCCTGCCCCAGCCTCCCAAGCCACTGGGATTACAAGCATGTACCACTGTGCCAGGCAAGACATTCATTTTTAACAGGGGCAAGATAGTCCCCAGTAGAGCAAAAACTTTTCTAGGTGGAGGCAAAAAAGATCTTACATAATACAGTATCTTAGCCTTGGGTACTGTTTGGGCCACAGTTTCCAAAGAGATGTACAGTATGTTTTATTAATATTTCAGAGGGTTGGGTGGCAGCACTCAGCAAAAAACATGTTTGAACAGTCAGTAATTTTGAAATCTTCAGGGGAAATAGCTAAAACAAAAAGAACAAAACAAATATCAGAAATAGCACAGCTCCATATCATATTTAAGTTGTGGCATTTTGAGTAACTTTTTTGTTTTCTTTTATGTTATTTGCTATCATCTAAAATTTATTCAATGAACATGCACTACATTCATAATAAGGGACAGTATTCAGTTTAATTGAAATTGAATACATCGATCAAAATAAGTCAATTAAGATTTAAAGAGGTCTTGCTGAATGTAAGAATGCAGAGATGGTGCATGGATGGTGTAATGGCCCTTCTCTGTGTTGTAGGGATATTACTTTCACACTGAAAACCCCTTCAAGGACTGGCCTGGAGCATTTGAAGAAGGCTTAAAAAGGCTGAAGGAAGGGGACCTTCCAGTCACCATTCTGTTCATGGAGGCAGCGATTCTTCAGGACCCTGGAGATGCAGAGGTAGATCCGTCCTCTTCATTCTACTAGACTCAGAAGCAGCTTCATGTGCTAAGGATAGACAGGATGGCACAGGGCTCTCCTGGGTGGCATTTTCACCAAGTAAAAGTTCCCAAAGGGGTTAACCTGGTTTAGTGTGATATTTATTCTAAGAGATAAGTAGGTACCTGTTTCTAATCTGCAGTATCTACACTGCCCAAAGATAAAGGTTGGGGATGAAAAATGAAAAAAGAAATCAAAATTGCCAACCTGAAACACACCCAGTGGTTTTCAGGGAACAATGTGTAGTTTTGTCTGGGTCTCAAGTCACACCATGTATCGCCCTTGATTTACTCACTCAACATTTATTGAGCAAATACTATACCCTCAAAATTGCACTAGGTCCTGGCTTTAAATATTGAAGGGCTGGGAATGCAAAGACACCTTTGTGGTCTATTGGGAGAGGTGACATAGTGTCATGAATATGGTGTCTGGATGTGCTAGGAGAGCAAAGAGCAGGGTCCTAATCCAGCCTTCCCCTACAGGTGAATCCGAAGTTGGGTTTTGAAGGAAAGAGAATTAAAGACCATAGGAAGTCAAGTTGTTTTTCGGAAGGAGTGGTGCAAGGGAGGCAGAGGGACTTGAAGCATCACGTGGAACAGAAAAGGGGAGGAGAGAGTGGGAGAGAGGAGGGAAGGAGAGAACAGCAAGTGTTTTAACTGAGTCTGAAGGCCATGGGAAACCTTGAGAGAATGGCCCAGAAGAGGTATTCAATCTGACTGCATGTAAGAAAATCCCTCTGTCTGGAATGAGAAAGGTGATTAGAGACAGACACTCGGAGACCACCAAAGAGCTTCTGCCGTCCACTACGTTTTGAAATCCATAAAGCCTTGTAAAATGATATTGGCTGTGTAAAAGCTTCCTTTTTAGACTATGAGTGATTTTTAGAAATCATTATAATGGATATTCTAAAAGCAGTTTGCAGAGATTTTAGGATAGGAGTATGTGGTATTGAAAAGACAAAACGGAGGAACTTTGAATTGGGCAAAGGGGAGGATGGGGAGGGGTTACGGGGGTAGGAAAGATGGTGGAATGAGATGGACATCATTACCCTAGGTACATGTATGACTGCATGAATGGTGCGTCTCTACACCATGTACAACCAGAGAATTGAAATGTTGTGCTCCATTTATGAATAATGAATTGAAATGCATTCTTCTATCATGTACAACTAAGTAAAACAAACAAAAATAATAAATAAATAAATAAAATTTCTATACTCAGCTACTCTAACTACATAGGTTCAAATTCCTATTCTGCTTGTTAGCCCTATGACCTGGGACATGTCATTAAAGCTTTTTAGGGTTCAGTTCCCTCATCTGTAAAATGCATTTCATAATAGTAAATATCTCACCATGTGTTCTAAGGAGTATTAGTTCCTGCAAATGAGGTGTTCAGCTCAGGGCCTGGCACATCCATAGTTAGTTAGCCTTCACTCTTATTATTGATAAATTCTTGGTCTGTATACTAAGAATAAGTAAACTGCTCACCAGTTAAAGCACCAGATATCTTATTCCTCAAAAGGTTTACAGTGGAACGAGATTGAACTGACAACTAAAATTCTGACAAAATATTGTCATTTTTAAAAAGTGGCATGAAACAATAACATCATCTTAAATTTGTGAATGATATATATTTTACAAGATGTTTTTGTGTATACTGTATCATTCAACACAGCAACCCTAGGAGGTTAAAAAAAAAAGTATACACTATTTTCCCAGATTTATAAATGAGAAAATTAAGTTCCTTTGTACCTAATGGATCCCGGTGAGGATCCAAGTTTTCATATCTATGGAAAGTCCAAGGCTAAGGTAATGAATGACATTGTGGGCAGTGAAAATGGTACCGTGGCCAAAGCTAGGAAGAAGCCTGCTTGATCAATCTTTTCATAGCAAGTATTATAAGACTCATGATAGGTGAAATCAAAATAGAGACTGCTCTAAAAATCACCAGTATGCTTGGGGGAAGTAATAAGTATTTTTTTTTTTTGGTTTTTGTGATATATTCATGTTGTATATCTTGATATTTCTAGTTGTAAATTTTAGCCTATTTACATTTTTGGGTTATTTTCTACTCCTTTTCTTTATAATTATGAAATCTTACATATTGATCTTTTGGTTTTAAGATGCCTGATATCATGGGATCTGAGAAATTCAGAGACTTCTGGAACACTGGATGATAGGAAAGGATAAATAGTGAATTAATTTAGAAATAATGACAGAGGATCTTGACCCAAATGTCACAAGACAGTTTGAACAAAGAAATGCATGTGATATTTTTTTCCTTTTATGGGGCTCTTACATAAAAGTATCTGAGTCAGGTAGCTCTGCATACAGGAGCTGCCACAGGTAAGCCAACTAAACACAGGAGTAATCCCTGCTTCCTTTTGCAAGGTTAATAACATCAGTTGTCTTTTGTAGGCTTGGCAGTTCCTCGGGATAACACAGGCAGAGAATGAAAATGAACAAGCAGCCATTGTCGCCCTCCAGAGGTACATGAAGCTAAGCACATGACCTTGGCTGGTGGACACCTGGGAATGCACTTGCTCAGTTCCACATTTGTCTTTTGTCCACTCCTGAAGCACAGTGTGAAAAACCAGGCCAGGACCAGTACTGGGTTGCCACATGTCACTCACACTTAGCTCTAGAAAACAAGAACTTATGACGAAATAGTGTTCTTCAACCACAATATTTTGTTATCTGCAAATCAATTGGTTCATTAAATACACAGTTTCTTTTAATTTTCTGGACTTTTGTAGCATCTGAAAGTTTTTCTCAGGATAAGCATATTGAGATAATGAAGATTTGTGGGTGGGAATGGGAACAGAGGTAGATGTAGGTAGCATCACCCATTAACTTGATTAGAATCCCTATGAAGCCCTGAAAGTTTCTACCAAATAGACTCTCGCTTTCCCTGCCCTTTCTTGAAGGTACTTTTTATATAGAGCTGTAGGAGGAGAATGTATATGCACATGCACATATAGTCCAGAGGTTCCACTGGAGTGTGTGTATATATGGAAGTGTACATAACCTGTGTGCATGTGTAAATCCTAGAGATTCGGAATGTTAGTATGTGAGAATTCTAGATCTGGGGCTTTGCCATCCCAGAATCCTAGATTTCAGTATTCCACATCATCCAAAGATGTTGTGATGCCTAGGGTGTTGTTCTTCCTTGAGATCATTTTCTATAAAGGAGAGAACTGGGGATCGGGGAAGGTCAAGGTCACACATTATATGTAAAAGAGACAGAACTTTAACCCTCATGTCCTGACTCTGGATCCCTGGGTCAGTGGTTCTTAACCCTGTATACACATGGCAAATAGAATGACCTTTAAAAAATTAAATAAAATTAAAAAAGACTCCCAGGCACTCCTGGTTTAATTGCTTGAGACTAGGAAACCAAGCATCGGTAGTTTTAAACCTTCCATTCTCGGGAGCATTCAGAGTTGAGAACTCTGCCCAGTACTGATAAGTTTCTGAGGTTGGGACCACCACAGGGAGGCATTAGGTGCTGCTTAGAGCTTGTTCCTTAAAAAGTCTTTTCCAGGGACTACCATTATCATCATTACCTGGGAGCTTGTCAGACCCGTATTTCCTCGGCCCCATCCCACCCACTATACTAGAATGCAGTACAGAGGAAGGTTCAGGGTCCCAGGTGATTCATCTCTACTTCAAAGTTTGAAAAAACCCTTGCTAGAGGCCAGATGAATAGAATAAGGGGGTTCAGTCAGTCACCTCAATCCTTTGTAAACCCACATTAGTAGTCTGGAAATGGGAAATTCCCTCTCCTCTCCAAAACACTGTACAATCTTTCATCTCTGAATATTCAAATATAATTCAAGTCCAGTTTGGGGGCAGGGGATAAGGTAATAATAATATCCTTTTCTTCTCATTAGATTAACTAGTAATAATTTATGTGCAGGAAGTAGCCATACTTCCATAGTTGTAAAACCATTCATTACAATTAAAAAAATCAGTCATCATCAGGATGAGTTTTAAATGTTCTTAAAAATCCTCTTTGGCCATGATTTTCATTAGAAGATACATGGTTTTTCAGGGATGTAAACAAATGTAATAACATTTTTCAACATTTTTTTTTTCATTTTTCAACATTTAATTGGTAAAGATTTCAAATTTTCTAGAGAACTGTTGGAAAACTGAAAAACCTAAAATTATTTCTGTTTTGTCTTCTTTCAGGTGCTTAGAACTGCAGCCCAACAATTTGAAAGCTTTAATGGCTTTGGCTGTGAGTTACACAAACACTGGTCATCAGCAGGATGCCTGTGAATCTTTGAAGAATTGGATTAAGCAAAATCCAAAGTACAAATACCTTGTGAAGAGCAAGAAGGGATCTCCAGGCCTCACTAGAAGGATGTCTAAATCCCCAGTTGACAGGTATCCTTCTCATTATAACTGGCAGTAAATACCCAATACACAATTAATCACCTTAAGGGTGATGAATGAGCCTCAGATCTCTACATCACTCCCTTCACAAAGGCTTTTAGGGCAGCATTCTGCTGGAAGAGAGCACTGAATAGAAAGATCGATGCTCACATCAGAGCTATTATGTTAATCCGTTTTCCATCACTGTAACAAAATACCTGAGATAATCAACCTACAAGGAGGAAAGGTTTATTTTGTCTCATAGTTTTGGAACTTTCAGTCCATGGTTAATTGGCCCTGTTGCTTTGAAGCTCATGGTGAGGCAACGTGTCATGGTGGGAGCACACGGCAAAGGAAACTGTCCACCGTGTGGCAACAAATAAGCAAAAGGAGCATTTATTTGATACATGGGCCTTTGGGGAATACTTATCCAAACCACAGCAACCATCCTTTGGACACATAATCTCCATCATGGGCACCCACAGACATTTCTCTGAGTACCATATTTTAAAGCCAACTGCTTTGGACATAAAATTCACCTGAAATATAATAAGTACTGATTGATGATCCATGTTTTATGAAGTCTGAGAATTAGGAATGGGTAAATGGAAGTCCTTTCTCCTAGGAATTTTGTTTCCATCCACAATAAACCTTGATTTTGTTAAGACCTTTCTCACTGAGGCCCTGGGACATTTAGCTGTGGGGTTTCCACACTAGTACTCCCAGGGTCCCTAGATTTGTCCCTGTAGAGACCTTACTTATGATAGCTCCATATGTGTGCAACAACATATTTCAAGAAAATCAGCTGCATTTTTCAACGTTCAGTATTAGTAGTCTTCTCCTTAAGCTAAGATATTTTGACAGAAATTTTCCAGTCTGCAATAAAGCAAGACTTGAAATAGTCCAAAGAGCTTCAATAGTCAATCATTCATGCCTGGACTCTTTGAGTAAAGAAACTAATGTTTTCTTTTGTAGCTCTGTTCTGGAAGGAGTGAAGGAATTATATCTGGAAGCTGCCCACCAAAATGGAGACATGATCGACCCCGACCTCCAGACAGGCCTGGGGGTACTGTTCCACCTGAGTGGAGAGTTCAACAGAGCAATAGACGCATTTAACGCTGCCTTAACTGTTCGGCCAGAGGTAAGAGTGCACAGCACAGCACGAAACCACCATATTCTCTGTAATAAGTTTCCACAACCTACTTTGCCCATTTCTTCTACACTTTATTTCCCTTCCTCTGATGTTTTGTGGCAGTTAATATTGAACTATCTAGAATAGAAATGTTAATTACATGACAGCGTCAAATGATGACTGCATTTTGTTGAATGAATGTCATTTCACAAAGTGATTTATGACGATGTCTGAGTAATTCGCCTCATCATGGTACCTGTCCGTGAGCACGATGTCAGGAAGGCTCCTTCTGGTTGTTAGAGAACTCTGCTTTTTGTCATCAGGACTATTCATTATGGAACCGTCTTGGGGCAACCTTGGCCAATGGAGACCGCAGTGAAGAAGCCGTGGAGGCCTACACCCGAGCTCTGGAGATTCAGCCAGGCTTTATCCGGTCCAGATACAACCTGGGAATCAGCTGCATCAACCTGGGCGCCTACAGGTGAAGGATGGGACAGGCAAGACCCGAGATCACTCTCGGGACTGAGGTCTAATAACCTGACAGGTGGTCTCCCAGTAAAAGTACCTGTTTTGGCAGGAGTAGTCCTCTTCCTGCCATTAAAAGTAAATTCGGGAGGTTGAGACAGGAGGATCGTGAGTTCAAAGCCAGCCTTTGAACTAGGTTAGCAAAAAGCAAGGTGCTAAGCAACTCAGTGAGACCCTGTCTCTAAATAGAATACAAAATAGGGCTGGGGATGTAGCTCAGTGGTCAAGTGCCCCTGAGTTTAATCCCTGGTATCTACATCCCCTAAATAAAAACAAAGAGTTAATGTGGAACCTTCAGACTCCAAGGCCTATTTAAGCAGGGGACAATATGTATCACTGGTTCTGAATCTTCAGCTGCAATCATCTGGACATCTTGGGAGATGTAGATTCCCAGGCCCCTCTGCCAGAGATCCTGATTCAGTCAGCCTAAGTTAGAACATTGTCTATTTTTAACACCCCCAAGGGCAGCTCTCTGTGAAGCATGAACAGTCCAATCTTGCATTTTCCACTTAAGGAAAAAAAAAATCTTGGGGGCATAGGCAAGCAGACTTTGGAAGTTTCCAGAAACCAGTGTTTGGCTAAGCAAAACCAAGAATCCAGGTTTTCTAAATCTAGTAAACCAATAATTTTAGTTGGGTAACAAAAAAGAAAAAAAAACATGATGGGTTTATAGTTTGAAACACCTTTCTTAGTTCCTTATGACTTGTCCTTAACATTCAAGTTTATATTTTCTCTTTCTTTTCCTATGTACAGTAACCATCAATGATCTTTTTCTTTTGGGTAATGAAAGTATGGGTGATTTTTTTCTTCTTTATTTTCTTTTTTTTTTTCTATTTTCTAAATAAACAGGTTTGGGATTTATATTTGAGAAAAAGAGAACTAAACTTAGCTTTAAATCCCACAAATAATGCAAACCTTTCCTCCTCTGAAAGAGCAGTGTTTCATAACCAGACAGGCTTGGGATCAGATCACAGCCATGCCATTCACTGGTTTTGTGACTCTGGTCATAAAACTTTGAGCCTTCATATCTCCACTTATAAAGGAAAGGGAGAGGAAGAGAGAGAAAGAATAATAACCACCTTGCAGGATTATCGTGCACATTGAATGTAATTGTCTAGCACAGAGCAATAGCTCATTATCTACTGGGCATTTATTACAATTATTGCCATCATAATCCTTAGTATCCCTATTATTATTATTTATTTAGATAAAGTATCTGAGACCTTCATAACAAGGTTACCTTCTTTTGACATCTGAAGAGTTGCTCTTTCCAAACTGTGTTTGTGTGTTTTGCTAGTGGCAAATTTTGAGGTCTTAGAAAATAGCTGTTGCATTTATACTAAAAGGATCTTACAAAGGACATTAGCCACTGGATTACACCATATCTTCTAAGAGGATTTTGCTCAGGTTAAAACCAGGAATAGCTGAGTGGCTCCTGAGCAGCTGATTTGTTTTATTTAAGGATACTGAAAAGTGCTGCTGCAGAGGCCCTCTTCACATAGGCTAAGCAGAAACCCAGAGCTGACGCTGGGCCACCTCCCCGCCCGGCAGCTGCCTGAAGCCCAGGTGATGTCCATTTTGCATGCCCACTTCCTTCCTGGTTTCATCAGATTCTCCTAACCTGTTTTTCTCCTCCCCCCTTTTATTCACTCTTTTCCAGGTATGTTCTGTTTATCTATTTCAGGAGACACCTTTGTCTTTTTGAGGGCAACAAAGGAAGATGTAAATAAACACACACATAGACATACCAAATTCAATTAAAGGGAGCTCTCATAAAGATCTCAGATGCGTTTTCATTAATTGTAACTTTTTAATGTAGAAAATAATACTTGCAGCTTCGCAGAATACTTTCTTGGCATTTCACAGGTGTGAAATTCATTTGTCAGAGACCATGACAACTAAAGACCAGCAACTTGGTTGAGCTGTGAAGTTTCAATCCTCAAACAGGAGGAACAACAAGTCAATTTTCAGGTTGCCAGAATACCCAACAAAATTTGAATTTCAGATAAAGGACAGATATTAGTTTTTACTACAAGTATTTTCTAAATATTTTTATTTGCTAAGTCTGATAACCCTGATCAATTGGTTACTTTGAAACAGCTCAACCAAGCTTTATGGATCTTTTATTGTCGTGCCAAATGTGGAAATCTTGAGAAGTGATACATAAGCATTTGGGGTTTTCTCGTGAGGGAGGACAAAAAGCCCAAAACCTTAAATGAATTCTGAAAAGAAGTTCAACTTCTTTACTTTAACTTGCATTTATACTAAGGAATAGGTACAGGCTTAGGAGTTACAGGCAGAGGTACAGGCTTAGGAAATAGCAACTGTCATTAGCAATGTGACTCTGAAGAAAGCCAGGAGTGAGTATAGATTCTTCTGTCCTCACCAAAGACCTCATCCTCCAGAACTGCAGGTGTCTGTGAGTGCCAAAGGCAAGTCTTATCCTACTACAGTGGAAATAAAGGATACGGTCGATATGAAACTTGGGTAGCTTAAAACATTACACCCTAGTCAGCAGGTGCTTCAGAGTAGTTAACCCTATTCAAAAATGAGGACCCTTTTTTATTTTTTAATTTGTTTTATTTGTTTTAATTAGTTACACATGACAGTACAATGACCTTGACATATCATACATTTGAATCAGATGTGGTATTTCTCATTTTTCTGAGTGGACAGGTTGCAGAATCACATTGGTCATGCAGTCATGTGTATATATATATACAGCAATAATAATGTCTATTTTATTCTGCTGGAGGGCCCTTTTTTAATAAAAAAAGAAACCATCCCCTTCGAGAGTAGTATTTTTAGTACTCGTATAATGAGGGAAAGATACTATAAAGTGAGTAATGCTTTTAAATGAAGGAGCTTTTGTTGAAGGTGACAATATCCACAAACAATTGGAATTATTCACACAGATATCTGGGAGCATTGGAAAGCTATTCATACAGATACATGTGCAATAGTCAGAGTCCCCCCAAAGGGCCCTGAGCTCACAAGTTAAGGAACAGGCTTAGACTATCTTTACGAAAACACACTGGAGTGGCTTGATGAGCTTAGTAAATTATTCTTCTGTCACTCTCCAAATCCCTCTGAACAGAAAGCCACAGACAGAGACTGTGTAAATGATAAATGAGGGCTCTGGGATCTTCCTCCCCACAGGCTCTTACAGGTCTGGGATTGGGGAAACATGTCATTAGAGCTGCCACCCTGGGAAGAGGGCCCAGAAAGGGCCTCCCCATACCCACCCATTTATAGATCCTCTTCTTGAGCCCAAGGGCCCAGAGAAGAGGTGGTTAGGACACCCACTCCATTGGATCACCCAGGTGGCTGCATACAGCTCCATTTCCCAGTGGCCTTTTACTCTCAGGCGAACCCAACAATGTAGATGAGTCTAGTGCCTAGGCCATGTGCTTTGGAATTAGAAATCCAGTCACACTTTCAAAGGTTCTTCCCAGACGTTCAATAGCCACCTTCCAGGATTAAGTAAAATCAAGTCTGTGAAAAGATTCTGAGAAGAGTAAAGCATATATAAATTAAAATGGCATGCTTACTCTCAGCAACAGTTAGTTTGTCAAACACATAATACAAGGTTGGAGTGACAGAGGGCCGCTGCAGAGGGCAGAACAGAAGGCAGACCTGGTACCAGCGCAGTCCTGGATTGGATGGCATCTAGCTCAGCTATTATCAACATTCCTATTCTCATGGTCGCTTTTAGCTTTTAACAATTACTGAGAATCCCAAATGGCTTTTATTTATGTAGCTATATCTATCAGTATTTACCGTTTTATAAATCAAAATGAAGTTTTTTAAAGATTCATTTGAAAATAACAAGTCCCCATGCTTGCTGGTAATCCCAGTGATTTGGGAGGCTGAGACAGGAGGAGCACAAGTTCAAAGCCAGCCTCAGCAACTTAGCCAGGCTCTAAGCAAAATAAAATAAAATAAATATTTTTAAATTTTAAAAATATTTTTATTTGCAAACACAGATCTAAATAAAATATTTTTTCCTCTTTGTTTTTTTTAAGAGAGAGAGAGAGAGAATTTTTAATATTTATTTGTTAGTTTTCGGCGGACACAACATCTTTGTTTTGTATGTGGTGCTGAGGATCGAACCCGGGCCGCACACATGCTAGGCGAGCGCACTACCGCTTGAGCCACATTCCCAGCCCCAAAATAAATATTTTTAAAAAAGAGTTGGGGATGTGGCTCAGTGGTTTAGTGTCCCAGGGTTCCATTCTCAGTACCAAAAACAAATAAATAATGTTTTTAAAAAGTAAAAATAGCAAGTCATCGTGTTAACATAAATAACATTTCACAAGAAAATAATTATTTTCCAAAATTAAACTATGGTCAGAGAAAATAGTGGCAGTGTTTTACATTTTTGCAAATTTCTTTAATAACTTGCTTACTAGAAGACAGACTGACTGACTGACTTCTGCATTCAGTCTGTAGGGACAACATACCTCATGTAGTCTCTGGAAAATTCCATCTCTGCGCATTTGAGAAGATAGAAGTGAAAAGGTCGAATAATATCTCAGTTTGTTTGTGTGTTTGTTGTCAGTACTTTACCCCTGAGCCACATCCCCAGCCTTTTTTTTTTTTTTTTTGAGACAGAGTCTCACTTAGTTTCTTAGAGCCTCACTGTGTTATTGAGGCTGACCTCAAACTCATGATCCTCCTACATCAGCCTCCCAAGTTACTGGCATGTACACTGCACCTAGCACATCTGAGTTTTATTAAGAAAATAATTTTGACCTCATTGAGCCCCTAGGCTCCCCATTCCATACTTTGAGAACTATTGATCTTAATAATAAAAACATTTGTATACATTGATTCAACTGCAGCCCAGGACAAAGTTCTAAAATTATTTTTATTCTCCTGATGACACACTGAGGGAAACTGAACTTCAAGGGAAAATGAGAAATTTGTCTGGAGCTAAATAATTAGGTTATAAGCCCAGGTGCTCTGCTAATCAAGTCAACTTCACCCTACCTGCGTTCCATATTTCTAGCACAAATAGGAAAGATTAAACCACTTTGTTTCTGAGTAAAGCCATATTTTTCCTCTTAAAATTTAGTAATATCAATCCCATCTGCAAATAGATTAAATCTTCAAACCATTCCTGGAGTAGGAGAAAATCAAATTCACTAATGAGTTAGCAAGGTTTTTATTCTTCTTTCTTTCCCAAGTGGCATTTGTAAAATGAAACTTGCTTCTCTTTCTTCTTTGTGATTCCACTATATTTAGCAATTATTATTCAGAAAAGATTAATGAGAGAATCAGAAAGTTGTTCATCTGATCATCCAAAATTCTACAGAGAGATGATTGAATTTAAAATAACTCAATCTTTTTTTTTTTTTTTTTTAAGTTTGCAAACTCTGAAATTTGTTGCATTTTAAAATGTCTGTTTTTCTGCCCTCTTAGAGAAGCGGTCAGCAATTTTCTCACTGCCCTCAGTTTGCAAAGAAAGAGCAGGAATCAACAGCAAGTTCCTCATCCTGCCATCTCTGGGAATATCTGGGCTGCCCTCAGAATCGCACTGTCTCTGATGGACCAACCAGAGCTCTTCCAGGCAGCTAATCTCGGCGACCTGGATGTCCTCCTAAGAGCTTTCAACTTGGATCCTTGAAGGAAACAAACAAACAAACAAAAATAAAGAATAATAATCCCTCACCCGTGTTATTGTACTGAGAAATGAAAAACTATTTTATTATGAATTTCCGAAAGGATAAATCAGATATTCAAAAGGCCATGGTCACATAACCCAAGGGAATTAACGCCTACAGACAATGCCCAGCCTCTGTTCAGATCCAAAAGCACAAAATGTTGTATATAGAGTCAAGGTCAGGTTCCAAAGAAGAATTGAGAGACTAAAGACAAACCAAGATAAAGTAAACTACGTGTACTCTTCACAAGTTGCAAGTATATTGCAAATCCTGTTTGGTGGGGTCCCCAGTTGCAGCTGCCAGCCCATCTGAGGAAGATGTTCACAGGACCCATGAAGAAAGCACTGCCTCAGATCAGGGAATTCTGACTGTTCCTAAACTGTCCCCTGAAATTCCCCCTTTTGCAAGACTGAACATAGTTTGGGCCATTGGTGCATGCACATATATTAACTCGACTAAAGACAGGCATTGCTTAAACCTGTTCCAGTTTTAACTTTTACTGTAGCCCTGTTTCCAGAGAGGGAGCTTTGCTGGCAAAAGCAGTTTTTGCACTAGAAATTTTTGCTGTTCCCAATCAAAACTTTTCTGGGATTGTATATATGCACTTTAATATCTTATGTATGCCTTGCTGGAGTTTGGTTTCGTTGCTCCAATTTTTAACTTTGGGGGGGGGAAAGATTTGAGAACTCAGAGTTGTTAAGATCAACGGACCAAATAAATAATTCCTGGAAAATAGTTTTTCATAGTGTAGGGTTTCAAAGGAGTGTTTTTTCTTAAAGCAGACATGACATAGGGTTAAATGTGCAAACACAGATCTTATTCACATGCTTTCTGGGACTGTATGAACTTGGAGACCAGATTGTGTCTCTTCATGCATTCTCTGCAGGAGGAAAGCTATCAAGTGATGATACCGTGATTCCTATTGAGTTTGCATTAACTTGCTTAAGTGTCATATTTTACTAGCTTTCTAACTGCCCTGCATAACAAAATTCCTTTTAAACTATTCCTATTAAATGGTATTTCTTAAGAGTGATAATACATTTTTCCCTAAAAAGGATGCATTTCCTTCGTTCTATGGTGATCTGCACTCTTCACCTTCTTGCACTGTAATGGAAGATCAACATTTTTTAACTGAACCTCACTGAATGTCAGCCGTTTCATATGAAAGATGCATGGCCCTTTGGCTCTTATTTTAAACGTTTAGCAAGTTTCAGGAATTTTCTATTGGCAGTAGTGTTTTATTTAATTGGTTACCATCCACTTAGTTCTTCAGAGTATTTTGTGTGTATTTGAGGCTTGATAATTATTTTGATAGATACATTTTTTAAATAATTAGGAAAAAACATATTTGCAAAATGCTAACCAAAATATCACTTTACCCAGTGAATTTTCCTATTGTTCTTCACTTTGTCTCCTTCCTTCCTCCAGAAACTGTTTCAAGACAGTCTGATCTCAAGTTTTTTTTCATGGGTTTGTTTGGGTTGGTAGTAGCTCATTCCACTCATGACGATAATTATCAAGACAGAATTGGGGTCAAAACAGTTTAATTGGAAAACAAGCTTCAGCTGAGGGGGAAATGTGCCCACATGCTGAGAGGAGAGTAGACTCAGGGCTCAAGTATGAACCTTCTGTGTCCCCTTGGAGTCCCTGAGTTGTGAGGGGCCTCAGATTAGCATGAAACCAGAAGTCCTTGAGGTGTAGAGGCAGGGCACCATGGGGAGTGCCAGGTTTTGCAATTGTTGAAGCTCAAGTGGGTCTGGCTCCAGCTGGGCAACAGGAAGCAGAGGCATTCAGCATCCACCTTTGGGCAGGAGTGACAGCCCAGTCTTGGCCTTTGTTTCTCTACAGTCTGAGCAGCAAATAAATCTCAAAAATATTTTCAAGAATGGCATTCTTTAGAATTTGAGAAATTATTAATTCGGTCTGAGAAGGACCCTTGGGGCTGATCTCTAGCCAATGGTAGCTGCCTTCCAGGTAGAGCAGTCTCCATTCTCTGCTACTCCTTCCTCCTCAGGAACTCGGTGCACTCCCCCACTGGTCAGCTGACTTGAATCCATCAGAGTCCATTAGGAGCCTCAGAACAAGGATTCAAAGCAAACTTTACAGTTGTTCTGCTTTTGATGCCATTCTATACTCTCAGCTGCAACTGAATTTGCAATGCTAATGATGTGCTTGGCTCTCAGTCTTGCTTAGTGCATACAAGATATCAGTAACCATTTAAAACCCGAAAGTAAAGCAAATGCAGGGTGTTTTGGTTTAATTTGATTGTTGCTAGGTGGGGACAAATTTCATGGCCCAAATTATATTTTGCCATTGGAAAACAAAATTACTTCAAAGTCCAGGGAGTTATTAAAGGGGAGAGTTGATAATTTTTCCACTCCTACCATTATTTAGCAATTTGCAAAATATTTGGTGGGATTTAATGCCAGTCTATCTACTATTGTCCACCAGAACTAACCAAAATTATTGCTCAAAAGTTGCATTTTTCAAAAATCAAGTAAAAACCATTACTAAAAAGCAAGTGGAAATTTATGGAAATAAAACACCACCAAAAATTAAGTTAGCAATATTTTAGAATACTCTTTATTACATATAGCATATATTTCTTGGTATATACTTTTCTTTTAAGACAACAGTTTGGGGCATCATCTTTATGGCAGGAAATTGTCACTTAAATTACTATTTCCATTTTGAAAGAATAGGATGTCCTTGGTTCCCTTCTGAGGCTGCTGCTTTTTTTAATCAATGAGCAATGGCTAAGAGCCCTGGAGGATGGCACCCACTTACTACAATGTCCACTCGGTTGCATAGAGATGACTTTCAGAGACTGACTGTACCAGGAAATGGAATGCAAAGGCAGAGAGACCCAGCAATCTCTGCTAAGTTTCAAAGTACGACCATTTCCCGCAGAGGATCTCTATGGCTGCTGATCTCAACTGGGAAAAAGAGGCAGGGGACCGAAAGAGGAAGAGCAAAGGGTCCTCTAACTGAGCCAACTGCAGCGATTCTGGTTCTGTCCTTTCTCTCAAGAGCACTACACAAGCTCTTGGAAGAAAGGCAGATCTTATCCCCAGGGAACTTTAATGGAGAACTATGAAATGTGCCTTCTCAGCCAGTCTGGGTTTCTACCAGGATGGCAAAGGCGTGACGCACAACTGGGTACAAGAGTCCAGAACATGTTCGCTTTCAGGAGTTTATTCCTCTTTCACGTTAAGAGGCCTATTGTGTTCAATCTTGGGCCCACGTCTAAATTTTTACATAGATAAATCTCTCTGGTGTGTTCTTGCCACACAAGCAACATTTGAACACCATAGTAGCTAGTACCACTTGGGGCTCCTTGAGAAAATAGATTAAAGCAAGATAGTCCTTTTGTGTCCCTTCCTCATTTGTTCCTGAATCAGTTCCAAGAGACTGGACTGTACTTTTTGTTGTTTTGATAGTGGCGGTGACTCTTCTCCACCTTGAAATGCTTCTAGGTGCATACTAGAAGCAGGGTGTTCTGAAGGGTTAATTCATGTGCCATCTTTTGAACCCACTTGTTTTAGAAATTAATAAACAGCCACCCTCATAATTTCAACTTTGTAAAACAATTTCAAATTCATTTCCTGTTCAGATTTTACTGTACAGTTTCCCTCTTGTCTCAGTATTTGCAGAACTGGTTGAAATTAAACTGTTTTGAACTAAGAAGCAGATACATATATATTTTTTGAGTGTTCAGAGATGAACTCTGGCAAAAGTTTGTAAAAAGGCAATTTTTAAAAAGCAAAACATATAACCTCAGGTACAAAAATATCGCATGCATTAGTACTTACAAATCTGCCTACTCAAATATTAACCAAAGCATGCAAGATAACTTTACTGAATGTAAATTTACACCATGCATGATTAAGTCTCATAGGTTAGCTTATTTTTCCTTGCTCCTGAACAAGAGAGCAATTTCATGAAATTTGTTTTTCAGTTTTTCTTTTGGCTTTTATCCTATCCCTGAGATTGATTTCATACAATCACATTGAACTTGACAGATATTCACATGTCTGTTTTGTGCAGTGTTGCAGCTGGTGCCAAATTAAAGCTCTGAGGAATCTGGGTGCAGACATCCAAATGCTTCTCTTAACAGCCAGTTGGGGCACAACAGAACCAAATTGGAACAAATCCATGTGTCTGCAAGCTATTCAATTAAATCGTGTTCATTACATCAGTACATAAAGGTTTGGGCTCTAAATTCTTTAAAATTTATTCAAAAAAATTTTTAAGTTTCAGAAAATTAGAAAAACTGGCATTTTAAGTAATGCAGGGAAGTTAGAAAAATGCCCAGACACATAAAAATCATCATAAGGCAAAGTGGACATAGGGCCTTAATTTCCATAAATGTCACTTTAGAAATGACACAGTGTCACATGAGGTGTGTGGAGTATCAGCTTTGTTCTGACATAGCCCTATGTGTATGGTAGGTGAGCTACCTGGGCCCCTGTCCCTTGAGAACGGATTTGACCAATAGATCTAAAAGCATGGAAGTTTGGGAGTGAAGCAGTGATTTCACAGTCACTGAGAATCAACTCTGAAATCTTCTCACTCTCTGCCATTGTCTGTAACCCCTGTTTGAAAAGAGACCAGAAGTAGAGAAAAAAAGCTCAGTAAGACAATGGGGTCTTATGTTAGTAAGTTGTTACCCACATCATGCACTGATATCCCCCTGACACATGTAAGCTCAAAGACCAAACCCCACACATACAGAGCAACGACCATGGCAGGAGGCACTGAACAGTTAAAAGGGAAACAAATATCAAAGTGTGAAGCTCAACAACCTCTCACGTGGCATTTTGCCTTACCAAGTTTCCAATGCCTGCAACCTCTGCAGAAATCCAAAATAACACACTCTGGAAACCAGTGTCCCTGTCTCACAACTGCTTCCTCAGAACCTTCTCTGCAAGAGAAAACTAAACTCGTGATGTTGCAGAGTGTCACTCAGTGGGACACTTAGAAAACCTGCCCTGAAATAATATCAAGATTTGGAAAAAAAAAAAAAAGTGAAACAATTCTTTTCTAAATGATAAATGTGCATAGTTTGCTTTTAGTTTTTGGTTTTTTTTTTTTCCTTCAAATTTTTCTGGTGAGGGAAGTGGTGTGATACGAAAAGGACAAAGAGGCATACACAGGTCATTTGCACATCTGGCATTTTCACTGATATATATGATATTTTTGCATGGATATCATAAAAGGATTGTTCCATGTGAAAAATGTGTTCACGATTGACTATGTTACCAGTAGCAAGGAAATACAGCAAACCTAGATTTTACTGACTTTATTTCATTTTCTCCATATATCATCTAACCCAAACCCTCCATTTTCATTGCCCAAATTTGTTTACATTGGTTGAAAAAAAAACTGATTAATTTAGTAAACTTTTTACAAACTATAACAAGCATTTATTAACTATTTAGAAAAGACATTTCTATATATTTTGTATATCTATGACTATTGCATATCTAGTCTAATCTAAAAACATTGTTTTAGACAAATTCTGTGATGCTTCCTCATCATGCTCAATAATGTTTAAAATCTTAGAATTTCATTTTCAAGCTGAATTAAACGACACAGAAGAAAAACAACTTTAAATGTTTACATTGAGTTTCTAAATTAACACCAACCCAAATTAAGTGATCTATAGTAAATTAATGACAAGAGGAATTTAAAAGTCATTGGCATACTACATGATACTGTATCTGTGATTTAGTGAAATAATATGTATCATAGCACAACTCTGTTAGGTATGAAGTCTTCATCTTGGTCTTTCTCTGCATTGCTTTTTGAAATAAAATTACTACTGTAAAAATAACCTCTTATACCGATGTGTTTAATTTACTCAGATGGCTTATTATTTGCAAAGTACCAAAATATTAAGGTAGTATTTTTGTACTATTATTGGAAGCATGCCTTCCCTTTTTCACATTATTAAATTGTATTTATATTTGTGCAGTTTTAAACTATGTTTTCCAATAAACTTTGTCTGTGGCTTCAAGGTCTTTTCAGGAATCTTTCAAAATGGAATTTGGAGATCAGAATTGCTTAGAATTGAATAGAATCCAATTTGTACTACTGGCTAAAAGGTTCTTTTATTGACTATCGCTGCATATGATCTTGCATGAGATATCTGGAAATCAGGAATGCATTTTTAGATATGCAACAAAACTTTAAAACCTTCCTCCTTTGTTAATTTTTTAAGACTAAAATACTATTTAACCTGAAATTGAAATTTGTGACCTTTTTAGAATAAAAGTATTAAAATGTATTTCACTTTAGGGTCTTTCTTGGGGGGAGGCAGTCAGTCAATAATTGGGTACAGACTCTACACAGGCACTATTCTAGGTGTGAGATACAGTGGTGAAGAAACAAAATCAATCTTTCTTTAAAGAGAGAGAGAGAGAGAGAGAGAGAGAGATTTCTGTGTAAAGAGACCTGCAAATACTTTAACAAATAAGAATGCCTCCACTGCCCCATGGTAGAACAGGGCA